CACCATCGAGTGATCTGTCGGGTCGGCGCGTCCCAGGGCAAAGCACAGCGCCGCAGCGGTGAAGAACAGGATTGTGTGCATCTGCAAGATATAATTTTCATGATTTTTTAATAAATTGGAAACTAACTGTACGATTAGAATGGAACTATTACTCAAAAATACAACTTGTTTAATACGGATAAGCATTAAATAAATTAATTATTACAGTAAAATTAGTGATTTCATTAGACGTTTTGCCCTCACCAGTGAACATCTGTCGTGTGCCCAAGTATGTCATAAATCAAAATACAGAATATTGTTCAACTACTCCTTGCCACATGCAGCAAAACTGTTAGTGAACGGTTTTGGCACGATACTAAATTTAATTTTAAAAAATTTAAAAAAATTTAAAAATATAAAAATTTAATAAAATTTAATGATATCAAATTGAAAAACATAGAAAGCAAATATTTGTAGTTGTTCCTGTCGATGTACAAACAAAATCATTGAAATAAATTATTCAAATCAAGACGATTCAAATGCATTTTAATTAAAAGCATGGATTTTAAAAATTTTTATGTCAATTAAGTTATTGTTATGAAATGAAGATAATGCTAACCAAGCACCGTAATGTCCGAGATTTAAAAGTAAATACAATGACCATTAAAAGTGTCTCACTTTCGTAGAGTAACTGAGGAGATGGTGCTCGTGTTTATGCAGGAGTACAAGTGATGTATGGGAGGCGGCGGTTCTGTTATATAGCCCAATTGTGCTCAATTCAACAGCTCGTCACGCGTTACTGTGATGTGTTCCTGTAATGAGGCAAGTGATGAATGTCACCGGTAAACGATCCAATATTGTAATATTTCGAATGAATATTCAAGATTTCTTTTTGAAGCGAAGAAGAAGGAATGAAACCGTAGTATATTAGGTCTTGAATTGTTAGAGCGTATTTTTCAAGATTTTTTCAGCGTGCAACGTAATGTTAGCTCTCTTGGGGTTAACTTGTAAGCACTAGTGAGACGAAATACATGCAGTACCTGCTTAGGTTACGTTTTAGGAAATGTTTCATTATACTCTGATGTACTTTTCTTATATATTATATAATAATATTAAATTTGAGAATAGTTTCATAATCTATGTATTTACTAATAAATAGTACATAGACTTTATATATTTGTAATTAGACTAGCGAGCCGGTATGAATACTTTTCCACTCCTGTACTCAGTCATTCCAGTGATAAGATTTACTTTAATTAGTATTCTAAAGCTCTAAACTTGATCACACATTTTTATCTCTAATCGTTTTTTTTTCGTTTTTGAATAAATTTTGTTGCGAAAGTGGTTCATTTTAAATCTGGATACGCAAGTTCATCACAATCAGGATGACACGGAATATGTATATGAATTGTAATTTATAATGCATACTCTCCGTTCGTTTAAATACATACCAGGCACTGGCATGCATACTAATTAATCTTATTTGAGAATACACTGCCTCTGGTACGGAAGTGTGGTGAATTGTTACATATTCGTGCTTAATTTGTACGGTTACAGGACAGAATTCTTATAATTAAAGGACAGGGCCTAGAAAACTGAACAAAATTGCTGCCGTTTTTTTCTGTAATCAATATGTATTTAATAACCGGACGCATAAGTAAATGAAAATCATCACTGAACATTCTAAAAAATGCCAACCTCATTTGATGATGGGGTGCATAAACCCAACCATCTTTACAATCACTGTTTAAATACTACTGAGGTTATGACCAGGTAGGCAATTTTTTTCACTTCTTTTACCTATGTAAAAAATCATTTCGAACAAAATAATCATAATTCAGATATGATATTATATTTACCAATTTTTTTTCTCCCTTTCTTAGTGTATTACTATCGAAATTTGGCCCAATATAATACATAAATCGTTATTTGCACTCAAGTTATATAAACGAATATTCTGCTAAAATATAATTTTTTACGAGGTACTTGTCTTAAACTGAGATCTGGAAGCTCAGTTCCTCAAATTTGCCTCTGAGAGCAAATGAACGAAGACGTTTTACCCTATCAAAACTTGAAGCCGCTTTACCCAGTTAAAATTTAGGGCAGGGAATAGAGCAGGCCGTCGCCGGCTGCAGAGCCGGCGTAGAGACGCGACAGAGCAGCGATAGAGCAGAATCCTTAAAATTCCACCATCGCTCAGTTCTTATTTATGCTTCGTGTCGTCAGGTGAATATTTGTCTTGTATTAACCGTGCTCAAAATTAATTCGCATCTTGGTTGTGTTTACCTTAATAATAAAATCAGTCAAAAAATCCACCTTTCTACCGCCGTTGCTCAGCAATGGTTGTTTATTATTTAACAGCACGACAATAAAATTTTGTCAAGTATTGAATTTTGGTACAATTGGCAATCGAAAAACTACGAAACCGTCGAAACTTTTATTTAAGTGGTTCGCAAAACGAAGCGGTTCACAGAACGAAACTAGGGAAAAACGATAATCACGATGTAGAACTTACTGTAGTAGAATACGCAGATATTTGTATTGCTTCGAAAATTAGGAGTTAATGATCAAAATATTAAAATATAAAGAAATGAATCACTGTTTCAGATATGAACGTCTTTACCTCTCCCCAATTCTCACCATGTTGCCGGTGGCATCAGAACATAATAATTAAGGGTCTGCAGAAGATCATATAAACAGAAGCAGCAGAGTTGAAGACCAATGAGAAAGTAGAGGTCGTTGGGTAGATTGTTATCTGGTTGAGACAGATAAACAGTTTAATCCTATAAATAACTAATACAAGGTATAACGCAATAATTTTAGTATGATAGTATAATAATTATATTATATAATAATAATAATAATATTTCATTTTTAGCACAAGTAAAATCCGAGCAATAATAACTCATGCTAAATGATCAAAATAACTAACCTATTGGTTTCCGTTGAGGAACCCTAGACAATAGTTCTCACTGAGAACTACAAGAAGGAACAAAGAGAAAACAGTACAAGGTATGTTGGTACGTATTTACAGGTGTCAAATAAAGGCATGCAAGCATGCGAAGATAATGTTAAGATCTAAGGTTAAAAGTTGAAGCAATTTAAGCACAGAAGCTCCGCGGAGCTACACAAAACCAACAGGGTTCATGGAAGTTGTGTGGGATGAAGTTGTGTAGGATGAAGTTGTGCAGGATGAAGTTGTGTAGGATGAAGTTGTGACAATAAAATTTTGTCAAGTATTGAATTTTGGTACAATTGGCAATCGAAAAACTACGAAACCGTCGGAACTTTTATTTAAGTGGTTCGCAAAACGAAGCGGTTCACAGAACGAAACTAGGGGAAAACCATAATCGCGATGTGGAACTTACTGTAGTAGAATACGTAGATATTATTAGTATTGTTTCGAAAATAAGGAGTTAAGGATCAAAATATTTAAATACAAAGGAATGAATCGCTGTTTCAGATATGAACGTCTTTATCTCTCTCCAATTCTCACCATGTTGCCGGTGGCAACAGAACGTAATAATTAAGGGTCTGCAGAAGATCAAATAAACAGAAGCAGCAGAGTTGAAGACCAATGAGAAAGTAGAGGTCGTTGGGTAGATTGTTATCTGCTTGAGACAGATAAACAGTTTAATCCCATAAATAACAAATTCAAGGTATAACGCAATAATTTTTGTATGATGCTCAAATGAAATCCGAACAATTATTATAATTTATGCAAAATAATTAAAATAACTAACCTATTTGTTCCCGTTGAGGAACCTTAGACAATAGTTCGCATTGAGAACTACAAGAAGGAAAAAATATAACTCAGTACTCACTGCAGTGAGTGACAGAGAGCGCATTTTCTCGTCGACGAAAACGTGAAGTCACGGACATGCAGACTGACAGACGGACATGGCGAGCACAATAGTGCATTTTTCCATAAATGAGAAAATGCGCTAAAAAGAGAAAATAGTACAAGGTGTATTCGTACGTACTCACAGGTGTCAAATAAGGGCATGCAAGCATGAGAAGTTAAAGTCAAGCTTTAAGGCTAAAAGTTGAATCAATTTAAGAACAGAAGCTCCACGGAGCCACACAAAACAAACGGGGTTGTTTTGAAGACCTAAACGAACGAACGTAGAAGCGCGAACATGCAATTTCAGTGAACAAAACAAAATGACAACACATCCGCACAAACTCAAATTAAATTGAAGGAAAAAAAAATTGGCAGCGGACAGTAACACGGTTAACACGGTTTAATCACGAGGCCAGCACAGAGACAAGGTTAAGGAAATAATTACGATCGAGACTAACGATAAGCGTATAAACGATGATGTAATCAGATAATAAATTTTCGAGGTAATGAGCGTCGACTTCTCCGAACACGAGAATAACGACAAGTCCGAAGTTTTGCAGGGCCTGTCCAAACACATGAAAGGTTTTCAGATAATTATATACAAAGAGAAGAACTTTGATAATTCCTGTCGGTATTGAATTCTACTAACACTTAGCTACGAGTAGTGAATTGATCAGGGCATCTTTCTCCGAGTTCAAATTAGTTCTTAAATGCCTGCAATGTTTTCAGTTATCTACTTCGTGCCTGAGCCTCGATTTTTGTAAGAATTTCGCACGACTTTACCTCTCTTCCAAGTTATGATAAATAAAATAAATTTGTGTAAGATGAAGTTACGTTCAGGCGAAATTTTTGAGGATGAAGTTGTATGGAACGAAGTAGTTTAGAGTGAAGTTGTTTGGGATGAAGTTGCGTGTAGGATGAAGTTGCGTGTAGGATGAAGTTGCGTGTAGGATGAAGTTGCGTGTAGGATGAAGTTGCCTAAGATGAAATTGTTAAAGAAGAATTAGTGCCGGATGAAGATATGCTGGATCAAATTGCTTAGGTTGAAGTTGTGTAGGATGAAGTTGTGCAGGATGAAGTTGTGCAGGATGAAGTTGTGTAGGATGAAGTTGTGTAGGATGAAGTTGTGCAGGATGAAGTTGTGCAGGATGAAGTTGTGTAGGATGANGCTGTGGACATGGGGAAGGCTTTACTGTTGCTCCTGCAGCTCAGCCTGGCACGCGCGGCCTCCTTGGTTGCGCCGGTGCCCGACGACGCATCCTCAGGTCAGCCTCACGCATCATTGTCGTGCCCGCAGCTATATGATTGAAAGCGAGAAAAATACTATCCTGATTCATGTGGCGAACAATTAATCTATAGAATTGAAGGCTATTCCATGATGGCGAAAAATTAATCTATAGAATTGAAGACCATTCTATGATGGCGAAAAATTAATATATATAATTGAAGACCATTCAATGATGGCGAAAAATTAATATATAGAATTGAAAACTATTCATGATGGCCAAAAATTAATCTATAAAATTGAAGAGCATTCCATGTTGGCGAAAATTTAATCTATAAAATTGAAAAAAAAAAACATTTAATAATTGGAAAAAAATATTTATCGATAGAATTGAAAACATTTGTTTAATGATGTGGTGAAAAATTAATCTATAAAATTGATGAACTCTTAATTCAATTATGGTCAGAATAATACTTTTACAAAATTTTAAAATTCTATATTTCATTAGGTGTCGTGAATTTTACCTACAGAGTTGGAGAATGACCTTTATTTAAATATCTGCAGAAAAATTAATTTACAGAATTTAATAATTCCACATTCGATTATGAGTTAATAAATTTATGCACAAAATTATAGAACTCTTTATTTAATTATGTGGCTGAAAATTAATCAATAATTTTTTGGCACTTCTATTAATTCGGCAAATTCAACTCAGGTTAGGACCAAAATGTTTAGACTTTATTTAATGAATAGCGTCAAATTAATTTTAAAATGGGACAAAACTTCTCAGTTACGTGACTTTGACATACATAAATTATTAAATACAAATCTCATTAATGATGTATTTCCAACGCTATTTATTGCTGCTGAAGCGATTATATATAATGATGTTATTAAAACTATTTCTTTTACTAAGGCTTTATTATTGACGCCGGAAAAATATTATTCCATCATGTACTTTAATCATATATTTTGAAAATTACAAATAAATAATTTAATTCGAAGACACGACCGCTACCTTAGAGAAAGCATTAAAAGATATTACATCATTTGGCATATTACTGCACATACCCAGTGAAAGTTATAGTTGTATTAGATGTTTTTTTTTTGGCAATTTGCACATATTACGATAAATTAATTTAAAAGTATTTTTGGCAACTGAATTATAGATACTCGTTATTATATTATGCTTAATAATAATTACCCTTTCATTGTAGATAGTAATACTTATTACAAATATTAAGCCTCATTATTAAAAAAATATTTTGTAGCAACTACTTCTGAAGATATCATTACTGCTTCAGTTATAAAGATCATGAACATTTCTGTTGAACCTTGCATATCATTTTTGATTCAAGATGTCATAGCAAGTTCTAGAATTGTAACAACTACTTGTCATGAATTTGTGTATGTAAATTTCTCAATGACATCACAGTCAGTAAGAGATATCTTATTTAGAGATAAGAGTTAACTTAGGTAGCTTATCTAACATTCGTCTATCAGATCGGCGATAAAACACAAATTATTTTCGTTCAAATACTAAATTTTTCATGGTCGACTTGGTTATTTCATGGACGACTTCTGATTATTTTACCTAGATTGTAATTGATATTTTAATTATTTAGCACAACAATTTAATTGAGTTTAAATCGACTAACTAATTGAAAATATTAGAATACCTTTAATTAAATTTGAATACAGTAACATCTTACGGTCACGAGTAACATTTCCAATTCTCCACCCAGGAGCGGAGATACCCGAACTTCTGAGTCTGGGTGTGGCGGTGGGGGGGAGGTGGGGGCAGTTGGTGTCCGGCAAGACGGTGGGGCCCTTCACTGTTGGGTCAAATGTCAACCTCACATGCTTCCTAGAATGTGAGACATGGTTATTTTTATTATAAATTAGATAATGCAATAGATATATACTGCTCACGTGCTTAATAGAATGTCAGACATGGTCATTTTTTATTATAAATTACATACTGCAATAGATATATGCTGCTCACGTGCTTCTTAGAATGTGAGATATGGTTATTTCTATTATTAATTATATACTGCAATAGATATATACGGCTCACGTGCTTCCTAGAATGTCAAATATGGTTATTTTTATTATAGTTATATGCTGCAATAGAAACATACTGTATAAAGTCAGTTATGTTGTTGTTATTTATTTTAATATTATTTGTTGTGAGAGTAACTTTCGCACCCCTAGTGCATTGAAGAATCGTTAAATTCAGTATCATTTCTGACTCGAGACGGTCAATAATTGAAGAGAGTTTTTGTTAAGGCTCTCACTCCAGGAATTTATCACGGCAAATAAAGTACATGCGGGTCTAAAATGAAACACTTTTACATTTAGAATTGAATTGCGAAAATCGAGGCACATCCTGAGTTACAAAACTGTTTCAGAAATATGACATGCGAGTAAATTCAAAACTCGACATTTTATCCCCAGGGTACATGGCTCTGAATTCTTATTAAAAAAACGGAATCAATAGGCCCTATATTAAAAATCCTTAACCGCTGTTAGTACTTCCCGATTTTACCGGAAAACGTTGGTCCGTAGTGTGTTACCCCATAGTGGTACGGTTGCAATGCCGTGACCGTATCGATCGCGAAGGTCTTCCGCCGTAACGATATTCCAAGTAGCCGTACCGCTGTTGTAATTCTGTAGCCTTAGTTTCTAATGATCTATCAAGTTCCGCATGACTGTGAACTGTTAACGGCCGTGCTTCGAAATATTGGTGAGGGTTCCCATGTTAGTGACGTTACTGCCAACTCGTGACCGTACAGCTGCTGATGAGTCCAACCCTACTTTCGACGTTGCTTGAATGGGTTGACGGCTGTTTCATTGCTGCGCTTCTGGCTGTTTCTCGGTCTGGCTCGCAATTGAAAAACGGCCAGTGCGGCCGTTGCGTTAATGTTGGCCGTACAAAAATGTAGTGAAGTCGAGGTCGTTACTTGTTGATTGTAGTTGTTCTTTCAGAAATCGTAGCTTTGTCAATGAGTCTAAGTTTTTCGCAACCGTTAATGTTCGAAAACGGGTGCAACCGCCGTCCTAACGGCCGTTGCAATCACAACGTCCGCAGACTGCAGACCGTGCGCGTGGACGTTACTTCAGAAGAACAACCTATGGCGCGAACTTTACGGTCCTTGTATACACCGTCAACGCACACACTTATGCCTGACATTCGCATGAAGCCGAATTCCTTGACTGGAATTTCCTCGCGTAGACCTCGCCAACCTTCGATATAGTCAAACGCTCGGTCTCGAGAACAACCGCGTCTCACACACACTATACAGTTGACAGTACAGTATATTTCAGTAAAAGACTTCAAACACCCTAATTTTCAATGAAATTCATAGCTTATGCACTTCAATAATTCGCTGTCGAACCACGTTTTAAAAAATAATATACATGTTCAGAGGTTCATTTTAATTCAACAAACTTTTGACTAACACTTTATATTTTGAAATATTTATTCAACAAATTTTGCGCTCCAATCCAAACAAATCATTTTATTCGAATACGAAGGCAGTAAAAAAAATTGAATAACGACTGACTTTAATTCCGTTTTTAATTTAAAGAAGGATTCCAACCCTTTAGCATGAGTGGAAATTTGCACGAAATGGCAGAAGGGTAGACGCAGTAAAGCCAAAAGCCTACAAGTCTCAAGATGACACAGCCAGCAGGCGATCTGTCACTGCATGCAGTGACAGATCGCCTGTCACAGATTGGCAAGTCTATTAACTATCATATTCAGCACGTACTAGCCTACTAGGTCTCTAGATAGTTTAAAGACTTGAATCAGTGTAAACAAAATGACACGAAATATTTTGAAAGGCTTTAGCATGACGTTGGAAATCATATGAACGAAATAAGCAAAGTTATCTTTATTATAGAAAGCTGGTATATAGAATTTCTTTCAATTTCGGAAACACTGCCTGGAAATATCGGGGAGAATATTGTAAGAATTGAAGTTCAGTTACCAGGTGTTGACTTTTTCACATCCCCAACGAAGAACATTGCAGTAGTGGGGTTGCGTTGCAGGTTGGAACCCTTTATTAGGCTCAGGAAAAGTAGTTTTCTACATAATACTAGTCAAGAGGCAAAGAAAGCCTCCTCGTAGGTAACGTGAAGGCTATAATGTCCTCGTTATTCTTGTAACGATAAAACTCTAAAAAAATTAGCAAGGTTGACTTTCAGTAGGTCGCATACGTTCAAAGTTGGTAACTTTAATCACAAAAAGGTTAAGTTGGTTTAATCACAATGGATATGTACTGGCTAGATGAATGATCTCCGAGAGATGGGAATCATTCATTGTCATTATTGTTCATAGAGTGTATGAGAGACTCATTTATGGTACAGCACGTAACCATGAAAACCCATCACTTGGCGAAAGTTTACACTCTTCATCAGAATTATTATATATATACTACGTTTGTTGTGGCCATCCTCCATTAGCGAAAATCTAATTTTAAGATTGAGATAATTTATTTTTCATTTCCAGTCTCATATCAGTGTCAAACTTATTATTATAATAAATCAGGCTAATATGTATCCTTTTTAACAGATCCAAGCTTGGATGTGACGGAACTGCGATGGTTGCACAACAAATCCCTAGTCGAGGACCAGGAGGAAGATATTTACGAAGACGCCGTTGCGACGACGATGCAAATCACAAACATGACGATGAAGGATAATGGTCGGAGTTTCTCGTGTCGTTACGGGTTTTTAAGAGAACGTCACGTTTTCCTGCTTGTCATCACTGCAGGTAATGGAGTAATAATCAACATAATTAATAAAAATAAATATGTGAAGTGACACTTTCAAATAAAGATAGCATTTTGTGGTCCACCAATTGTCTTATGTTTCTCCGCACGAAATCTTGCTAAAAAAGTTTTAACGGTTCAATTGATATGATAAACTTATTGCTTTAAATAAGTTAGATGTCATTTATGAATTCAACGTATGATATCTAGGAAAATAGTCCTCGAGTTATCCAATATTAGACTTAAATAGGAGTTCCTATTAATTTGTATGTGTTTTAGTGTTTATGCCTCAAATGAACGCTATTCATACGAAAGAATCAAGAGGTAAAAAGTAAAAACATATTTTAGTTCAGCATTGCAAATTTTGGTAAAATTTCTCGCTTCACTTTATTTACGCGTGTCTATAATATGCACTATATATTTATGTTCACCAATCTCTGAGATTTTACAAATTTGAAGCTCCACTAATCCGTATGAGTGTTTAATTGTCTATCGTTTATTATTGTTTTCAAAAAGAACTTCATGTATTCCAGGAAGCTCTGATGACACTCACAGCAGAGCCAGCATGCCCGTGATCATGTTGTTCGCCTTCATCCTCGTCCTGCCCATCATCGTCATGTTCATGCGAGCCAGAGAAGGAGCCGTCACTATTTAACCATCATCGTCATCTCACTCCAGGAATTTATCACGGCAAATAAAGTACATGCGGGTCTAAAATGAAACACTTTTACATTTAGAATTGAATTGCGAAAATCGAGGCACGTCCTGAGTTACAAAACTGTTCCAGGAATAAGACATGCAAGTAAATTCAGAACTCCACATTTTATCCCAAGGATACATGGCTCCTAGTTCTTAATAAAAAATCTGAATCAATAGGTCCTAAATTAAAAATCTATAACCGTTGTACGTACTTCCCTACTTTACCGGAAAACGTTGGTCCGTAGTGTGTTACCCCGTAGTGGTACGGTTGCAATGCCGTGACCGAATCGATCGCGAAGGTCTTCTGCCGTAATGGATGTTCCAAGTAGCCGTCCGCTGTTGTAATTCTATAGCCGCAGTTTCTAATGATCTATCAAGTTCCGCATGACTGTAAACTGTCAACGGCCGTACTTCAAAATATTGGTCAGGGTTTCCATGTTAGTTACGTTACTGCCAACTCGTGGCCGTACAGCTGCTAATGAGTCCAACAATACTTTGACGTCACTTGAAAAAATACTTTGACGTCCACGTTTTTTATAATACATGTTCAGATGATTCTCTTAATTCAACAAACTTCTGACTAACACTTTATAATTTGAATCATTTCTTCAAAAAATTTTGCGCTCTAATCCGAACAAAAAAATTAATCGAATACGAAGGCGGTAAGAAAATTCCGCCTAAATAAGGTAAGGAATAAGGAAAATTCCGAAGGCGGTAAGAAAATTCCGCCTAAAGAAAATAACAACTGACTTTAATTCCGTCCTCTAAAAAAGGATTCCAACCCTTTAGATGCGAAGTGGAAATTAGCACGAAATGGCAGAAGGGCAGACGCAGAAAATCCAAAAGCCTACAATTAAGTCTCAAGATGACACACCCAGCAGGCGATCTGTCACTGCGGTCGAAAGACAAGTCTATCAATTAACTATCATATTCAGCACGTACTAGCCTACTAGGTCTCTAGATAGTTTAAAGACTTGAATCAGTGTAAACAAAATGACACGAAATATTTTGAAAGGCTTCAGCATGACGTTGGAAATCATATGAACGAAATAAGCAAAGTTATCTTTTTTATAGAAAGCTAGTAAATGGAATTTCTTCCAATTTCGGAAACACTGCCTGGAAATATCGGGGAGAATATTGTAAGAATTTAAGTTCAGTTACCAGGTGTTGACTTTTTCACATCCCCAAAGAATAACATTGCAGTAGTGGGGTTGCGTCGCAGGGAACCCTTTATTAGGCTCAGAAAGAGCTATAGTTTTCTACATAATACTAGTCAAGAGGCAAAGATAGCCTCCTCGTAGGTAACGTGAAGGCTATATCGTCTCCGTTATTCTTAACGATAAAAGTCTAAAAAAACTAGCACGGTTGAATTTTAGTAGGTCGCATACGNCCATCATCGTCATGTTCATGCGAGCCAGAGAAGGAGCCGTCACTATTTAACCATCATCGTCCTGCCCATCATCGTCATGTTTATGCGAGCCAGAGAAGGAGCCGTCACTATTTAACCATCATCGTCCTGCCCATCATCGTCATGTTTATGCGAGCCAGAGAAGGAGCCGTCACTATTTAGCCATCATCGTCCTGCCCATCATCGTCATGTTCATTCGAGCAAGAGAAAGAGCCGTCACTATTTAACCATCATCGTCCTGCCATCATCGTCATGTTCATTCGAGCAAGAGAAAGAGCCGTCACTATTTAAACATCATCACCAGCCCGTCATCGTCATGTGAGCATAAGAAGGAGCCGTCACCATGTAACCATCATCATCATGTTCATGCGAGCCAGAGAAGGAGCAATGTAAGGAAACTTGCATTGATCTCAAACTAAACTGGAATTCAATAACCGAGTTTTTATTACAACCTTAATAACATCGATTTTTTGAAAAAAAAAAATCTTTTACTTTTTAGATGATGTTAGACCTAGATAAATATTTTACGGATTGAAATAAAATAAAGCTGAATTGAGACAATATCTCTTATTCGAAGCTCGATAAATTGGGGTCGATAGTTCTGAAATGAGGATAAAAGTCATAAAAACCTACTTCTATAGGAAATGCTTTTGAACAGTTTTTTGTGCGCGCCGAGGCGACGCAGTTTCGAGACCACTTGCGTTCTGTGCCGGCAGGCAAGTGGGACAGACGATAGCTAATAGACTTTAGATTAAAGTTTTTTATCCTAGCGACTCTTAATATACTCTTCGATACATTTTTATCGCCCGTAAAAGGTATTGTATATGCATTTGAAATAGGAAACGAACTTTTCCATGAAAGGTAATAAAAGTCCAGATCTTTAGCATTATATTGCATTAAAAAAATTTCATGGATGCAAATGTTATTGGAAAATATTTCCTATAGAACACAATGCTGGTGAGGAATTCCCAAAATGAATGAATATCAATTCTATTCCGTGTAACATGATAGATTGAAAATACGGTACGATAGAATTCCTGAAACGTTTTTCGCTAACATTTCAAAAGAATCATATTTGAGCATTAAAAATAGTTGCTAAAATTTACATTTTTTTCATAATAATTTTACTAAATTTATCAATGGTTTCTTAATTTCTTCGTCATTCATAATAATTTTGTATTTTTAGTTTTGGGTTGTTATGTGATGTACATAGCTTGATTAATCTCGTGATGTGTAGCACGAACAATTGACCTAAAGAAAGATGTTCCATATATAAGTCCGTGCAGTCCGTTGTGAAGTCCAAGCCAGAAAACCGGTGTGCAATCTACGAGGCTCGTTGAGGGGTCCATACAGGGGAAAAATGTCTTTCTTAGAGCCAAGCGTAGAACTTGGGGTCGTCAAGCATAATACGGGGCAATTCAATTACCGTCTGAACCATATTTACTTCAAAATCATAGAAATGATAAAGATCAATTAGTTTCAGATTTTCTCCGCCCATAAACTACAAGGTGGCAAGTAAAATTGCCTACGAATTTCTTATTTTTTATTATATACGTACGAAGTATTTTTAGAAAAATGCCTTCAATCATTTTATGACACCTGCTAATGGCTTCGGACACATATACGAAAAATGGCATTGAACATTTCAACGCCTCTTGCTCCCTGCTGAATGTATAAATTGTGTTTAAAAGCTAAAAAATGTCCCAAAACTTGGAAAGGGTAGCCTAACTTTCCTGTCATTGACGATTTTAATCAAATAAATCCACCTCTAATCACTTATCTATCCTCCCAATGCCCACGTGAAATTTACGCCGGTGGTTTTCTTATCTTCCCTATAAACGAATATTTAAGAAATTATGTGACCAAGCAATCCGGGAAATTTTCAAGTCGTTTTTAGCGGCGTTTTCACCCAGTAGTCTGGGTTCTTCATTTCGCACAACAGCAAAAGCAGCGACGTCATCAAGCCAGCGGCCAGCAGCACGAAAACCCCCTGTAGGAGTAACACCGAACTTTGATTAAAATCCTAAAGTTATTCAGTGGGCTATCAATTTCAATATTTAATAGGTTACAGATGCATCACCTCTTGATGGCAGGTATAAAAAATTGAAGCTACATCAAAGTATTCAATGACATAGCCGTCAATGCCACTAACTTCGCCACAGCACTTACGTCACCAGTTAAAAAGAAGCAATCTATTTTGTTAACAAAACTGACCCACAACTTTCTTGCGCGATCGAAAAAGCTTCTCACTTGTTAAGTGGAATTCAACCCTACAGGTGCCTGTACACAGGGATAGTACTAGCCGCTAGTTCATCCGGCGCTTGAACTGTCCACGCTACTAGCCTCGTGTAAAGGGAGGGGTTCAGCCGCTTCAGCATGCATGCGCCGGCAAGTGCCCGAGACGCGGCCGAGAGAGACAACGATGTGTTGATAACTCGTAATTCTGACCTGCATTATACGGTTCTATTGACGACCGGCAAGTTAATTAAATGCCTTAACTTTTGAATGGTGTTAAACCTTGAATTGCTGTACCGGATCTACCCGACCACAGTTCGCAATCCTGACAAATAAAATTTTTCTGCTTGATCTGACTCAATAAGATCTTGATATAATAACTAGTCAGTCGTCAGGGATATAAAATTGATTTGCACTAATTATTATATTATTTGCTTCAATCTTCTCAAGAACCCCGAAAGATGACCATTTTCCCATTATTGATATAAATTTTTGTCATTGTCTTTTCCATATTTTACCATCGTAAAAATTTTTTCTGAATCGCAAGAAGAGCTACTGGCGGTATACTAGCTCTGAAAACGCATTGGCCATGAAATTCTTAGAGCTAACAAAAAAATTTTCGGAGGTAAAATATCTAACCTAAGAAGGATATTGTACCCCCAAAAAATGGCAGCACACGAAATCTCGTAAGTGGCAACCAATGTGTCATTAACGGTAGCAGTGTAGAATATCTCACAATCTTATGACTCGCGCCATCTTAAATCTTGAGGACTTACTTCAAATCTCCTCAAATGACATGCCCTTTAGGTTAGGCCACATACGAGACCAGTGACCTCGTGACCAGAAATATCTGAGATATTAATATAATAACAAACCATCCAAGGTTCATCCAGATTAAAGGAGCTTGGCCTACCCAAAGACCCTCGAGACCATAAGGCTCGCTGACGGAGATGGTCGTGGGTTGGGAGTTGCAGGCGGTGGCGTTGGGCATCTCTTCGGCCATCCAACGCATGTACAACCCACTCTCCACAATCGACAGAATCCTGAGCAACATTCCGATAATTTGATTTACAAAGACAACAAAATACTAGGCAAAGAGATTCCTATTTCTATCCGTGAGTGCAGAATTATGTAAAATATCATTTCCATGGCTACATATCTTGGAACAGAAGCACGCAGCGAATTTTACCACGGGCATAAAGAAATTTTTTCCTCCGCGAAATATTGAACGTTGAGAGACATTGCGGATAAAAAATTATGATTAAAATTATGTTTCTAACTTAAAATGAAGATATTTTCTTTTCTTGGAACTATATAAACTGTTATTTAGAGTACGCGCCGCACTGCATGATCGCGTCCCCTACGAAACGGTATTCAATAACGGAGATTTTATTTCTCGCATTTTTTATACGACTTTATGCCATCAAATCATTCACATATCATGGTAGAATGCAGAATTAGTGTTAAAATATATTCAGAATATTCGCCCAAGATGTCGGCCCTTGCGTCATTTCAAAGTATTCTCAGTTGCCTGTGCTAGGTTCCGCACCACCTAAAGTTCTCTAAATTCCCGCAATTTCGATGAAAATCTAATCAATTCGTAGTTCATAAGGTAACTGATTAAAATTCTGTCGTTCCATTAATATTTTTCAGGATATTCGCTTTAAAATTTGCTCTACTCGCGGAAGGTGAAATTGCTTACTTACTATAATTAGCGATGCACTATTTTGTGAAAATATCATTAAATTGAATACGATCGCATATAAATATACTGACAGGAAACCTGAACATATTTTAGAACAGTGCAAAGTTTCTGCGCGGGACATGAAACACTTTCACCGTTCAGACATGGCGGGGACAAGAGGATGGTTCTTCTGCCCTATGAAGGACAGCACCCAGGGCTTGAAGCGGTCCTCTGACAACATGAAGTCGCAAGTTCCTGTCAAATAAAAGTCTTCATTGACCCACCACTATTCAATTTATTTGCAGGCTTCATTAAAGGTCTTTTCTTCATATGGAAGAACACTTTCAGAGCAAGCTGCCTAATATATGTCAAAATTCCATCAGGATACGATTACGAAAACACGAAATAAATAGAGCCATTGTCAGAGAAGAGTTATCATGTAGCAGTCCGAATAGTGACACTATCTTCATAACAAAATCGATGTACTTGTGAAAATAAAATGTATTCAAGTGATTATATTCTTTTTGTATCATTCCTAGCCAGAGTAGAAACTTTCCAATGACACTTGAAGCTTATAAGATGGCTCATCGATCTATGGGGTTCATCCTTATAACTTGATTGCCTAATTAGTATAACATACCTAAAACAAGAAAATAATGTCATAAGCTTACACTTGTTGAATAATTCTACCCACCGCTGTTGGAAAAGTCCAGTGATAGGAGGCGTAGTAACGTGAGCTCGTCAATAAGCAGGACATATTTGCCGCTCCTGACTTGGTTGTTGATGATGTCGGGGAACTGGGCCGACGTTACCTCCAGCATGCGCCCCTGTCCGTAAAAAGCCCCCAGCTTACCGAAGAGACCTTCGTCTGTAGTCTGTTGATCCATTGGAAATATAAATGCAAGCTCGTCAATAAGGAGGACATATTTGCCGCTCCTGACTTGGTTGTTGATGATGTCGGGGAACTGGGCCGACGTTACCTCCAGCATGCGCCCCTGGCCGTAAAAAGCCCCCAGCTTACCGAAGAGACCTTCGTCTGTAGTCTGTTGATCCATTGGAAATATAAATGCATAAACTAATATTTTATTACGACATGTATAATTGTGTTGATTATCCAGACATGTACTGAAGAAATCAATTCTAAAACTGCTTATTAGTTATTCATGGCAGCATTCCTTGGTTAATTGTTACGTGAAGATAATTGTCACCATTATTTTAAAAATATCTCTTGGAAGATAGGTTATACTCTCCAGATTCCAAATGTTATTTCAGCCTGTAAATACATGTAAAAATTTTAGTCCTATTTATATAAAAATAAACGAATAGAGCAAATAGATTAAGTTTATGTCTTGATTGATGTTACTCTGTCATTACTAACTGTTGAAATACTGAATTGAATTTATTCGATCGATTGAAAATCTAACTGCTTTATGTGACTTCTACTGAACTAACTTTATGTTATCCTACTAACGTGGTATAATTCAACCTATAACATTGTCAGTGGTGAACTCTTTTATCCATTGACGCCATCCAGCGACTTTCCTCCATGCTTGGTAGCACTTAAACAGTTATTTTATTTCAATCATGAAACGCCAGGCAGGAATAATCGAGCACAACTCGTACATGCTGGCATGAAGCTGTAAAATTGGATCCCATGCAATGAAGCCTGTAAGCAGATACCGTACATATTTAGTAGTGAAAAATATTGCTTCTTCTTACGATTCAACTATTGTGATGCAGCCTTGCAGGAGACATCAAACATGTTCAGTGTTATAGGGAAACTGCGCTTGCAACATTAATATCCTTCATTTACAGAAGTGGATGTGGATTCATTGCTATTTTTTGTTCTGGGGTTGGAACCTCTGCCATTCGGTGTTTTCCATAGCTTTATTTTCCGCATTGTGACGTAATAGGCAGTTAAAATAATCTTGAACTACATAAAATTAAATTTACTCCCTTAAAATAATGTTATCCATGGAGAACTAAAAATTTTCAACGACTAACGTCAGTTATACGGAAATCCCAGGACAAACAAAGAGCAGGGGCCATACTTTCAAAACTCGCTAAGTGAACGTAAGTACGTACGCTCTATTTTCTTGTCTATGATTGGTGGATTTTGCTTGAAAGGCCGTCAATGATTTGCTGATGAACTTACGATCTCTTAAATTTTTTGAAAGTATGGGCTCAGTACTCACCCTGACGTAGTCACTGAAGGCGGTCTCTCTCTCCAGGGCGACGTTAATATGGGGGTCCGTGACGAGCTCTTCGAGATTCCTGATGGGGGTGTAGATGTAGCGTACGGAGAGCTGCGATGTCAAAGCACACCCGTAGATCCAAAGTATCACGGAGCAGAAGATAAGCCAAGTCCCCGTGAGAATATTCACCGTCAATTCTACGCTCCGCAGCGTAAAGCCTGCGCAGTCAACACGAAGTCAATTCTACGCTCCGCAGCGTAAAGCCTGCGCAGTGAACACGAAGTCAATTCTACGCTCCGCAGCGTAAAGCCTGCGCAGTGAACACGAANCCAGTACTCACCCTGACGTAGTCACTGAAGGCGGTCTCTCTCTCCAGGGCGACGTTAATATGGGGGTCCGTGACGAGCTCTTCGAGATTCCTGATGGGGGTGTAGATGTAGCGTACGGAGAGCTGCGATGTCAAAGCACACCCGTAGATCCAAAGTATCACGGAGCAGAAGATAAGCCAAGTCCCCGTGAGAATATTCACCGTCAATTCTACGCTCCGCAGCGTAAAGCCTGCGCAGTGAACATGGCGCTGATTCTGCGGCCTATGATGCAGACCTCTGAGCTATCAACCTAGCACCAATTCCGGTCGTATGCATTTAACACGTTTACAATTTCTATGACTCCCTAGATTGCGAATGAGTGCAAAACAGCATATTTTTATTGCGAAACAAATATATGCACTCACGGCCATCCCCTTTAGTTGACACTTACTCCTACATACAAGATCATACACGAACTAACTATTCTAAATACACGAAAATGACGAAATTATGTTGGGAGAAGTCGTTATGGACATGCATGGTATAGGATTTCGCCGAATTTTTTAATCTATTTGTGTAGGATGTTTAGCCAATAGACAAGTTATTTAATCCACTCGACGAGCGCGTCAAAATCAGATAAAATAGACATGCTTCATCGCCAGCACTGAACTCTTGTGATCGAAAATAAAGAATATTGAGAACAATACCCATCATTCCCGCTCGCGCATTCTCTGATCGACGAGAAGCTGAAGCGCCTTATGATTTTTTGGTGATGAAACGTTTCAGCACGAGTTTAATAGTTAAGTAAATTGTCTAATGTTTGCATATAATGATATCATAAATAAGCAGCACATATTTATAGATGCCCGTTTAGTCGAGCTAAACGGCGGAAACGAGTAGTTAATGATGCATAAACTCATAATATTCCAGTAATTCAAGTAGCGCTCGTCCGTTTGTTTTATTTTCTTTTTGTATGGCATCTAAGCATTCACATGAGAAGTGTATATTATGATAAACTGAAACGTAAATATCTGTGATGATAGCCTTTAGATATTTGTGATGATAGCCTTTAAATATCTGTGATGATAGCCTTTAGATATTTGTGATGATAGCCTTTAAATATTTGTGATGATAGCCTTCAGATATTTGTGATGATAGCCTACAGATATCTGTGATGATGGCCTTCCGAGGCCTGTGGATGATAGCCTTTCGATAGCTATGATAATGTCCTCTAGACACTGCGTTCATTAGACAGATCCTACGACAAATTATCGTACAAAAAATTGGAGATTTCCTCATATCAGCTAGCAGCCATTGTTGAATATTACCTTGCATTACAATAACCCCGAAGAAGTTGAAGCAATTTTTACTCCAGAGGACAAGCCCCTGGCGTTTGTTGACGCGTTGCCTGATGGTCTGCATGGCCAGCAGCATGACGCTGGACATCACCAGGCCACTGAGCAGGATCCCAACCCACGTGTACACGGATAGAGGCTTTAGGAACCCCCAAGGATCAGGCTCAGGAGTCCCGCGTCGCACGATGATCCGGAAGTAATCCTTTTTGAAAAAGTGAATTAAAATAATATTACGGACTGGTGTTTCACAGCAATCTTAAGGAGAAAGTAAAAGGCCATAACAGAACATGACAATTTGAATGACTAACTAAACTGTACCAAGCATTAGGTTGCTAAAAGATTTGTCTACCATTCGAGCAAGATTAACCGCAACAATCCTGCGGCTCGATTCAACCACCGCAATAATACAAATCGAATCGATAAAATCACGAGTACGAATAATAAATATAGCATTGAATTTGTTAATCGGATGACTACAATAATCCTACGGATGAAATGACCACAAAAGCCCTACGTACGGCCATATGACCTCAAAAATCTACGGAACAAATGACCACGAAATCCCAAGGCACCTAATGACCACAGAACTCTACGGAACAAAAGACCACGCAATTGAGTTATATGAATTAATAAGTAACGACGATTAGCCCTATTTTCGCCGATTAAATCTACTCCTCCGAGCATCCATGAGTGTCATGCTCCATGAAATCAATCCAGGAGTCTTGAATTACTGCCTGTTGACGCGCTCCTGATTCCAGAAATTGTGCACAATCAAAACTAAAGGAGCAACTTGAGTCTCACCTGAAGAATGGGCACCGTGAAGTCGACCACAGTAGAGCGACTGTACGTCATCGCAAATGGCCCCAATCCGACATCTGCCTCCTGAAAATAAAATGGGAATTTGAAATATGAAGATCAGTTGAATTCATAAGCTGATAAGGGCATTCTTTCTAAGGGCATAAGCTGATAAGGGCTGTCTGCTCACCTTGTGGTACACCTGCCCTACCATCCCTGACCATGCCTGCTCACCTTGTGGTACACCTGCCCTACCATTCCTGACCAGCTGCCTGCTCACCTTGCGGTACACGTGCCCTAACATCCCGGACCAGCTGCCTACTCACCTTGCGGTACACCTGCCCTACCATCCCTGACCAGCTGCCCGCTCACCTTGCGGTACACCTGCCCTACCATCCCTGACCAGCTGCCTACTCACCTTGCGGTACTACGGCTCTACCATCCCTGACCAGCTGCCCGCTCACCTTGCGGTACACCTGCCCTACCATCCCGGACCAGCTGCCATTGGCTTGTTCTAGTCCCCAAGCGCCATCTGGAGGCAGCACCAGCCTGTACCTGTGGAAAAATGTGTCACCACGTGGCAGGCAATGTCTAAATACAGGCTAAGCATGGTTTTGATAATTTCAAGTCCGCCCAGCATTATTCAGCATTCCCCAAGTCAACAGAAAAATCCAAATCTCATAACCTCATAACGCTTTAGAATTAACTAATTTCTGTCAAATATTCAGTTTAAGCCCAAAATTTTTGAGCGGATGGTATTATCTGTTGGTCATACATAGAAATATCGAGTGCCAAATGCTTGAATACACGATCGAACCATTCAATTATCAGCTTTTTTATAATAATGCAGGTGACCGGGACCATTATCTTAATAATCAGTGAAACTGGTAGGCCCAGCCTTGAATACATGACAAACTTAGTTTCTACTGATCCTCTTCCTCATCCACATCGCTCTAATCGACTCAGAGCTTATCCACTCATCTACATCGTCATTTGCGGACGATACAAGAGTGCTAATGAGGATTGCAGATAACCAAGACTGCGAGAGGTTACAGGATGACTTGTCAACAATCAACGAGTGAACTCTAGTGACTAATTTGCAATTCAACGGAACTAAGGCCAAAGTAATGAGATGCTGAGTCGGTGTAAATGGTTGGGATGCTGCATAGCTACTTTGCATAAGACGAAACAGTAATCGAGGAGAAGTAACTCGTTCGTGAACTCGGTGTGTTAATGAGTACTGAAGTTACGTTTGATATGACCACATCACGGAAATAGTTGCAAAAGGCAGGCAACAGATGGAATGGATCTGGAAAATATTCCGAACAGAAGAAGCTGAGCCAATGATTATACTTTTCAGAGCCCTCGCAGCCTCTAATTTTCGAGCATTGCTGCCAGCTCTGGGTGCCACTCAAGGTGAGCGTGATTAATTAATTAAGCTATTGAAGTAAGCCAATGGGCCTTCACGTCCAGGATCAGCGGGATGAAGGACTTGGACTACTGGGACGGGTTGAAAAACTTGAAACTGTACTCACTGGGGAGATGAGAGAGGCATATCATACTGTAAACTTGAAAGATGATAACCGGACTAGCTCCCATCGTCAGACATAGCGCATCGAAAGGAGGAGAATACTTTTCACGACATACCCAATTTAACAACCGGACTGCGGCCAGAGTTTAGAGTTTAGACTCATCGAGAGGGATCCATTTCCATGGCAGGTCCGAGGTTGTTCAATGCCTTGCCGAAAAGCTGAGAGGAGAGGAGCTCACTCTGGTGACATTCAAGAGACGACTGGATGCGTTTTTTAGCAAGATACCGGATTGACCACTTATGGGCCACTACCCTCAGCAAATGGCAAGAGGCAAAATTTCGCATCAGCTGGTACAAATGAGGGCAAATGCTCGGGATACTTTAATTAAACGTTACCTCTGGGACCCGAGAGTGGGGCGACCTCTCTATCGGAGACGGAAAACGACGAAGGCGCGCCCCAGTGCCACTGCGGACAACGACGTCCTAAACCAGACTTAAGGACATAATGAGTATATGATAACCGATAAACTACTACAACGCTTGACCATGATCGTTTCGGCGAAGGCGCTTGCTATCGGTACCAATTTTACGGTATTGGAAGGCTAAAATTCACAGATTAACTTGCAATGAGACTAACTCTAATGAGAAGAAGTCGTAGTTAAATAATATTCTAGTAATTATTAAATTTCTGTGATTGATCACGCTGGACAATTTGTTTTTTGATATATACTCAATGCATGGGAGAAAATGCAAAAAATCACAATTTTGAGCCAGACTCTACATATCAAAGCTACAGGCAGATTTGCCGGACTCTGACTTGCAGACCTCAGCCGGGCTCGTTTTCAGCGGAATTGAAGCCAGCTGAGCCATACTTAAAAAAAAGTTAAGAGATCGTAAGTTCATCGGCCAATCATATTGACGGCCTTTCAAGCAAAATCCACCAATCATAGACACGAAATTAGTGCGTAAGTACTTACGTTCACTTATCGGGTTATGAAAATATGGCCAATATTTAAAACTAACGTTCGATACTAACGGGATAGGGATAACCTTTTCTTTTCAGTTCGATATCCTCACAAGTAAAGCCTTCTCTACTTTTTAATAATTCGCGATTTATAGTTCACTCAGTGTGTAGAGTTGCGATTTGTTCAATTCGTAATGACGTTCAACAGACCTATAGATCTAGCATGCCATGAGCATGCCAAACTACATAAATTTCTCGTTCAATGTCATAAGTTTTCATGCTAGTCAGGCAATCACAGACGTGGAATTCAGGAATTCACTGCTAGCGTACAGACCATTTTTGCGCTCTATTTCTTAGTTATCAGTTTTTTAAGAATATTTTTCAACCGTTCTGGATGAATCAGTCAGGGCCGCTATTAATGCAGCGCGATCGAAGTAACCAGGGGTTACAGCGCATGTAGAGTCGTCTAAACGCGACGTGCCGGCTCCAGACCAAGGCCTATACTTTCAAAAAAGTTAAGAGATCGTAAGTTCATCAGCCAATCATTGACGGCCTTTCAAGCAAAATCTACCAATCGTAGACAAGAAAATAGAACGCAAATACGTTCACTTAGCGAATTTTAAAAGCATAGGCTCTGCTTCTCTTGTCGGAAGCAGTGATGTGTACTCCTTTATTTATACTCATTCCTCACGTGATCAGTAATAAACTGAATTAATTAAAGTAGAACAAATTTGGCCGGTTCCGGCAGTCATTCATTTGACTTGTCGCACTTCAACTCTTCTTTCGTGCGAGACTTTCTGCTCTTCAATTTCATTTTCGCACTTCAACTCTTCTTTCGCGCGAGACTTTTCGCTCTTCAACTCAATTTCACGCGAGACTTTACGCACTTCAACTCTTCTAAAGAACATTGGAAATAGGACTTCATCCATACGCAACACTCCTGCTGCATCCACTCCTGCTGCATCCACTCCTGCTGCATCCACTCCTGCTGCATCCACTCNATTTCACGCGTCATTATCTATGAAAACCAATGTAGAACAAGACTTTTTGTTGTGTGAACAATCATTTTCAACTATTAAATGCCGTCTTAATACCTGTCTCTTATACACATCTAGATGTGTATAAGAGACAGGAACAAGACAAATAACAAATAAATATTTTTAATGAAGACTTTCATCGTCCTACTACGGTGCACGATAAAAGTAATTCAACAGACCATTCTAGTCAACTTCAATGTTAGCTCGCGCAATAAACATTTTCAACTCTTCACTGTTCATCACACTTCTAACTTATTTTGCTCACAGTACCTTATTCAAATTTATCCCCTCTTCCTCAAACAATCACCACCATTTCATTCTACATCCCATAATCACCTCTATTTCACTCTACATCGCACAATCACCTCTATTTCACTCTACACCTCCATATCACTATTCGTCATCCATGAACCTTTTTTCACTCATTTCTAAAATTCTATCGTGTCAACATGATAGAATAGAATAGAAGTGTCGGCATTGAAGAAATAGGCCCATGGCCTGTTACCGATTCTTGAACTTTTCGTGAATTGATTCACAAGGGATCCGGCCTTTGGAACCCGATCTTTCCATAACTGATGATTGATTGAGATAGCTGCTGGACTTATTGCCTGGTCCGTAAGTTGCTAGGCATTTTAAGAATGAACATGTGAGCTCGGCCTGACTTGTATCAGTATTATGAACACGATATTAGTTTAGCCTTATCCATGTCAAATTCGGACACAAACCCGCACCTTCTACTTATAATACGAGTCCTTCTCATTTCGTGCTTCAGTGCACGAAATTAGAGTGCAGCTAGTGACTTACTGACACAATAATGCAAAGTGGGTAGCGCTCCAGCAACTTTTGTTGCACCTATATAATAGCACCGTTTTTAGCACATTTTCTCATTTCTAGAAAAAATTCCCTGTTTTGCTCGTCATGTCCGTCCGTCTGTCCGTCCATCCGTCAGTCTGTCCTTCCGTCTGTCCGTGACTTCACGTTTTCGTCGATTTTGAGAAAATGCGCTCTCTGTCACTCACTGCAGTGAGGACTTACAAAGAGATTTCAAGCCGAACAGCACAGCACTGGACATAATGGGTCATGCTGTACAAACGTTTCTTACATATATTTTCATTTATGGAAAAAAGGCGCTATTGTGCTCATCATGTCCGTCCGTCCATCTGTCCGTGACTTCACGGACGGACGGACGAGAAAATGCGCTCTCTATCACGCACTGCAGTGAGTAGGGCAACATGGGGCAGCGCGCCCCCCACTTTTTTTAAACTAAATTTTTGATGAAGTTTTAATTGATACGAGGTGGTTCTTTGTATTGTTTAAAGATACAACTAATGAGGAATGTATAATGTGAATTAGACGCCTATATGTTTATTCAATTTTTAATGAAACACTATTTTGTAAAAAGTGTCAAAATGGGCCCATTNATTTTAACTCCGCCATATGTGAAAATTTTGGAAACCACACTTATTAAATCAGTACCCACGTACTTGATTTTAATTGAAAATAAATGGCAAACGTCATGATTTAATATATTCTCTTGGCATATCCTGGTTCGCGGACGCATTAATGAATGCAGATAAATTCATACATAATCAATGATTTTTGATGATCCTCTAATATTAAAGAAAAAGTGAACTTAGACATCAGTCAATACATGCGATTCAACATTTTTCCTACGAAAATTTTGAAAAACTTTGCTCCAATTCCCAGTTTTAAACCAGAGAGAAGAAAGGAAAACGAGTCAAGTTTTTCAGACGATTTTCTGTTCATTTTTATCAAATTTTACGAACCCATATAATTCTAGTTAATATTAAAGTATTTATCCAACAAGTTATTGATTCATTGAATTCACCGAATAAAGTATTAATTGAATTCCTGCACAATTCTAGTCATGGTAGATGGAAAATATAGCGCATTAATTCTCCGAAGTTTAAACCAAAAACTCATTAAAACGCTCGTCTAACGCAATGATGAAAGAACTCGATATGTGCAGGGGTGGCAGGATCGCCTGCCTGACAAGAGTGTCACCAAAGCTTAAATCTTGTTATTAAAAATAATTTCCTGTTTGAATTGTTAGGTTCCATAGCTATAAGTAGTTCTAACAAATGAAACTTTCGAGTTTCAAATTAAAAATAAGATTCTTTTCCAGCTAAGAAGAGAATCTTATATTATTGTATAAGGTTCTCTATAAGAAAAGAATATTGTATTATTATATAAGATTCTCTTCTAGAATAAATATAGTTGCATAAAACCTGCGTGATCCAAATAGTGTTATAGCCAATATCATGCAGTTATCATGTGAAGGAATAATTTGCAGTTGTTCGAATTCATGCCGATCATGTATCGCGGTCTCTGATAGCGACTTCAGAATTTCAGCTAATACAGTCGGTCTTTCTGACTTATTTAAATTTTTTTAATTATGTCAGGAATTTTGGAATTCCTTTACATTTTCAAATAGAAACCTGGCTGAAATGCCGCACTTAAATCTTATCCTCTTTCGATGGTAGACAGAGATAGGCCAGTCCACGTGTGATTATTTTAAGTCGACTTGTCTTTAATTTGTTAATTTTATGTTATGATATCTGCCTTTGAATTTGGATTATTGACTAATTGTACTTACTTTCTACTATTACCGAACTGATGATGGAGCAAGATCCTAAAACGTTTTATTTTATAATGAAATCCTCTGAATAATTCTTACC